CCGTGAGGAAAATGCGTTACGCATTCCCCGCCGCTGGGAGACGGCGGGGATATGTGGGACTCTCTCCTGGGGACTATGTCGATCCCCAAGAGCATACCCACTAAAAACCTCACGATGTTCCTGCGCGTACCTGGCGCCGGAGCCGCGGGGTCCACACCATCCCCCCCTTAATCATTGGGGGCTACCTGCACGGAGATGCCCCGGAACATTTGGGGCATCTACCGGCGGCGGAGGCCTGTGCAATGCAGGGGCAAGGTCTCCCAACCCCGCACCCTGCTGGCCTCCGCTGATGGGACGCAGGCGGTCGGCGAAGAGCCGTCGCGTACGTCCTCTCTGCCGACGCCGAATGGGGTCCGAGAGGGCGCTGTCTTCGCGGACCCGCTCGGCTGTGTCCTTCTGCGACATCACGTCCTCGCAGAAGACCATCGCCTGCCATGACCTCTCGCTTCCCAACATGGCTTTAACTATGCTGGGCAGTGAGAGGTCTCGTCCCACCATCTCTACGAGATCCCGGCGCTGCTGGCTCCAGGTCGGGCACACCTCCAAGGTGTGCCTCGCCGAGTCTGTAGCAGCGCCGCACTTGTGACACTCCGGGGTCATCTCCCTCCGTGCGATCTTGTGCAGGTAGTCACCGAAACAGCCGTGTCCGGTGAGTACCTGAACAAGACGATAGGTGAGGGACCCGTGCCTCCTCTTTCTCCAATCGGCCAGTACAGGGAGCCGTCCAGGCGCTGCTGCGCAGGGGTTATAATAAATAGACAAATAAAAACAATTAATTAATAAATGAAAAAGTGAGAGAGAAAAAATACAATTTTAATTGGTTTATTGCCAAAAATTTTTTAAAGATTTTAAAAGGGGAGGGCTTAGACATTTCGAGGATGCATTTTATGCTAGTTGGACGAGGGACCACTTGTAGGAGTACATAGTAGAGAGAGACGGATGGCTTAGGACAGTTAAAACCGTGCGGCGCAGGCCGATCGGAGTGCCTCCTCCCACCCCGCCTGGACGGCGGTCTTGGCGGCACACCGAACCCCCACTAGCTCCTCTAGTGTGGGGCGCTCTCCACGTGCCCTGGCTTCAGCACGGCACCTGTAGGTCTGAACTTAACCTAGCCTAACCGAACCTAATCGTGCCTTTGCGATAAACTTTCAACATATCCTGAAAGAACAACTGTTTGGTTATAATTCGGGTTTCGATGTAATGAAAATTCGAACAAACGTTATTTCGGACAAAATTTTTTCGAGTTTGTGTTAGGTTTCCCAGTAAAAGAGGGAGAAATGGAAATCTCTGGAAGAGGCCTATGTCTTCGGACAAGCTGAAGGTACCGAGTCAACAAATTTACCTAATATTAAATAAGTAATGTATAATAAGTACGCATGTCATACAATGTTTCTGTGTTAGATAAGTTAGTATGTAAGTTATCAGCTATAAAGGCTATAAATAAATAAAAATAAGTAAAATACTTATTTACAACATTTTGTGCTGCAATGCCATAATGAGACCCTGACTCAAAATACTGTAGACCGTGAAAAGTCAAACAGGGTTGGTTTTGCATCACACGCAAATACACATACATAACTCTAAAATCATTAGGTCACCGTTGTGTAATTAACTAGCGGAGTAATTTCACAAAATATAATAGAATATCAATTCAATACAAATTACAGAGAATAGCGACACCTCTAGCCAGGGCTGGTAGCTGACTGGGTGACGAAATACTTTCATTTTTCATAGATGGCGCTACGGCTAAAAAGTCGTTGAAAACCAAATATATATAGACCCGACAAAAAGCACATAGAAAAAATCGTGAGGTCCGCTGGTTCGTTCCGTGGTTTAGTAGGCACGGTTCGCTAGAAGACGTCGGTTCGAATTCAGCCGGATTGAAGGAATTTTTTCTAAGTGTTCGTATCAAAGTAATGGATTAATTTCCCAAAAATAATTGAATAGCATGATAGTAAAACATCACGGTATTCAGTATTATTTGAGTGGTATTTGATAATCCTAATCCGAATTATATAAAATCGCGCTCTTAGTATAATAAAACTATATATGATTTGTCTTCTGGTTTTATTGGTAGCAGTAGAGCTCCTTGCGAAAGATCTCGTCCAGGCAAGTACTGCCACCATACCTATTTCTGCCGCCAAGCAGTGAGCATTACTGCGTTCCGGTTTTGAGGGGTTAAGGGTGCCGGTGTAATTACATGGACTTGTCAACTTATGTCTCAGGGTGACGGGCGCAAGGTGGTTTACTGCTGGGTAGCAAATATTTTAACTAATTTTTTTTCCTTATAGTTGATCGACGGTATTCTACGCACGTTTGAGAGTAAACCTCTAATGTACAAATACGCAGCTGTCACTTGTTTCAATCCTTTCGTCTTGTACCAGGTTAGTGTATTATTTTATTACTAAAACGCAGCAAACGAAGCTTTCATTGCATCCACTTAAATTGCACTAGAGCAGGTGTCGGCAACCTCTAAGTTGGAAGTGACAAAAATTGCAACTTATAAAATTTCACGGTTTTTATAGAGCCACTAAAATTTTTCTTGCCAATATTAAAGTACTTGCTTATGTAAAGATATTTGATTTTGCTTTAAAATAAAAAAAACTTGATTCAAGTGAAGCTGTACCCAGCAGTTGGGACGAATAATGGGCCGATTGTGATTCAAATGCATCGAGTATATAACCAGAAACAGAGAAGAAATTTCATGTAATTTGTTGAAAACTATTCTGCCAAACCATTACGGTGACAACTGCGCTCCGATTGGTCAGCTCGAATTCGAAATAATTGACAGGTATCGTCAATTGTTTCACTTCAAATCGACCAGTTTAATTTGAGCTTTGTTATAATGGACGACAATTGCAAAATTACATATTTAATTACCGATGAAAAGTGATTCCGTTTGTTTTGCTGTTTTTCCCACAGCACCGAATGGAACAGCTTACCATAGTTAGAGATATTATCTTTATTACAATAAAGATAAATACAGAATGTTTCTGGAATATACGGAGACGTACACACAGGTCAGTTGTTGGCGCTGTACTAATTCAGCTTTCTAAATTGTGATTTCAGCGCAAACAAGATTTGTTACTTAAAAGTGATATAAGGTCCATTTACCTGATGGATTGCCAGGGATGGACGGCTCTTAGGGTGCTTTCCCACTATGTCGTGACGACAGATTGTCGTGCAGTTTACAGTGTCGTGGCTTGTATATTTAAATGAGGTTGTTCACATATAGCACGACACGATTAACTGTCGTTCACGATTTTTTATCGTTACAACGACAAACTGTCGTCACAGTGGGAACAGCTAGAACGACAGTCGTCAGACGATAAAAAAGTCACGATAAAAAGTATAAAAACGTGACGACAGATTGTCCCTGATGATTGATGGTTAAAACCCGAAATCGAGGGCATGAACTATTTACATCTAAATATTTGTTGTGAAATGAGTTTTGTTCAAATTTAATTATACATATTATTACAAAATATTTGTTGCTTTATCGTCAGGACAGTTCGATTTACCTTTATATTGAATAGATTCGCTTGAAAAGTTCATCAATAAATTGATACAAAAAATCGTTAGATCGTATGCACTTGAATCGATCTTCATTGAGAATCCACAGGATTGACAGGTGGTGGGTATTATGTGGAGATGCCTCTTCTTCGTGTAATAAGAATATAGAAATTTGTTATAAGTTGTTGTATATTATGTTGTTAGTGTTGGAATTATACCAAATTCTGTACTCTTCGCTTCTGCCCACGATTTTGGGCAGAAATGGGTTAAAACTCGGCGCTTCGGGTAAAACCCTGGTGTAAACACGGGCGGGTTGATTGGGTTTTAACACTACCGGCTTCCAAAAGAACATACAAGCGACTGCAGTGCATCAAACGATTCTGTCGTGCAAACGACTAGGAGGCTGTCGTGAAACGATAAATTGTCGTCACGATCTAGTGGGAACAGCTAGTCACGACAGTCGTTCAACGATAAAAAATCGTCCACGACAGATAGTCGTGATATGGGAACTTACTAGACACAACAGTCGTCCAACGATAATAAAACGTGACAACATAGTGGGAACCGTATGTACTAAATCTGTGGTGGGAACGCGCTCTTTTTTCGTCTCTATTTCTGGTTATATACTCGATGCTAGCGGGCAACATTTCTACGAAACGAATTGTAATTTTACTCCATTTTCAAAGAAGAAACAAGAAAGTTATATAATTTATTTACACTATTATAAACGTGTGTTTCAAAAGATCCGCAAAAAGGACCCTCAGATAGTGGGCGCTATCAGCTACAGACCGTACGCTTTCAGCGCGCGGGACTACGACGCGGAGAACGGACCTTCCAATCCCAGGTATAAGCAAACTACATTCCGTTTATTTCCCCTATATATATCTGCTTTTCAATGACCCAAACGAGGCAAACCTAGCAGTAGAGCTCCTTGTGACAGAGTTCGTCCAGGGAAGTACTGCCAGCTTACCTATATCTGCCGCCAAGCAGTAATGTCAGCATTACTGTGTTCCGGTTTTGAGGGTAAGGTTGCTAGTGAAATTACAGGCACATGAGACTTGTCAATTAGTGACGGGTGCAGTGGCAGGGCCCCTCAAATTTTTGCGATTTAACTGAATGGCAGTGCAAATGTCATGGACAGGCGTTTAGCTTAGCATAAGGCGCACGACTTGTTCGTCCTGTCACTTGATGTTTAAAGAAAAAACCCAATAAGTGTGTTAATTTTTGTGAACTGAGCTGTCCTAACACATCGATACCTCCTGTGAACACTTCGCCCACTTTTTTGTTCATTTTCGTTTTTAATGAAAACAGCTTTTAATTACTAATATTATGCTCCCGAATTTTGTGAACAAAAAATAAAGAAACAAAAAACAAAATAATGATCTCAGTACTATAAAAAACCGAACTCAAAAGTTCGTGGAATTACATCTATTTGCAAAGTTTCATTGAAAACGGTTACCGAAAAGTGCGCGAAACCGGATTCATCCCCTAGTTTGCCACCCTTAGAGGTGGAATATTTTCTTCAAATTTAAATGGGACCAATACTGAGGTACCCTCTTTTCAACAAAAAAAAGAATCATCCAAATCGGTTCACAAACGAGTTATCGCGTAACATAAATCCAAAAAAGCCTCATCCTTCCCCCAAATGACGAAGCGGACCACACGGCCCCGTAGTCCTCCTCGCGGCTGCCAAAGTCGCCCGCAGCGCGAACGTGTGCACATATGAATGAGCCTACTTTTAAGTGTCATTGGTAGGACATGGATGGATTACGGTCCGTTATATGTAACTTAACAATTTCATTACAGATATGGCGATAATCTGGCTATCCATGGACTACTCAGATGCGCTGATAGTTTATACAGCTCGTTATGGCGTTGGACAGCACGTTGGTGCAACGTCAGTGCTGTATTAGTGCACAAAGACATTGTCAGTCCGTAAGTCAACCATTGTTTACTTTATTTGATCCACATAGATAACTGCTTACTCAATATGATCTACGTGGATCACTACTTCCTTAATATGATCCGCGTGGATCACAACTTATTCAATATGATCCACGTGGACCACATTATTCATTCATAACGCTCATATGGTTTTTACTGTTTGCCATAACTTTAGTTCAACGTTAGTGCTGTATTACTGCACACAGACATCGTCAGTTCGTAAGTACAGCACGATTTTACGCCGCCACCGCCATTCGAAAAGCCATCATTTTACTGTCGGCATGTCTAGTTTGAACCTAAAATGTTACTTTATATGATCCATGTAAACCACATCATAAATAACAGGTACATGTGGACCTTTCTGGCGACTGACGGCACGTTGGTACAACATTAGTGTTGTGTTACTACACAAATATGTGATAAAAGTGAATCACTATACTCCGTCCAACCATTTATTTAACTTTTGACATATGCGTGCCTCCGAAGTTCTGTAATTATTGACATACAACATTATAGACAAAAAAATGCAACAATTCCTGGACCTTCTTTTATTTTTTTATATTTTACTAACGAAGTCTTATTGTTTATTATAATGAATCGTCGGATTCTTCTCTATATGGATGGGAATCATCACCTGAATCCTCATTGACATTAATTATTAATTCTTGAGTACACAAATTGTCAAACGCAACATCACGATCATACTCAGACAATATCTTCTTCGCCGCGCAACGACAGCTTGCGTGTAACGATCATCGCAAAATACGCTCCATTTATTTAGCTTTTACATTTTAACTTAAATAAGCGTCCCGGGCACGCGAGCTAGCCTGGCTTCAATTTGGTGTACGCTGCGACCGCGTGGTTGTATTATTTAGAGGAATTTAAATGTTGTTGCCTAGTAAATAGAATTCAGATTCGCCATTAATGAACATGGAGGCGTGGTAACTGGGCTGTCGCCGCGTGGCGGCTGCGCGAAATCTTTCGCCTCGTGTAACTGGGCGCTAATTGATTATAATTCGAGCTGTTAAAAGTTAAATAAATTGTTGGACGGAGTGTAAATGTGATCCACAGCTGTAGTACCACATTGACCCACATGTAGCATGTCCGGTAGAACACAGACTTAACTGCAAAAAATTGTGATCCCAAACCCTTTTAAAAATGCAATTTATACGGAAAAACAGACGCATTATGCACTCCTTCATTTTTCTGTAGCGGGCGTAATGCGTATTGAAATAGTATAACATTTAAGAGTTCTTCAAATGTGCTCACTAGCCCTAAATACGGTTTAATAATTTAATTAATTTTCTTTCAATTTTATAAATGTAAGTTTAGTCACTGTTACACCGGAGGTGCGATGTGCAATTAAAAGTAGAGTCTGGCCGGTCAGAGCAAACGGGAACAGAATTACGTAAATAATTCGAACGCCACTCTATCAATCATATTGATAGGGTGGCCTCCGCGGCGCATTAATAGGGCCGGTACAGTGTGGGCGACGCCGTATTTCTGTATATATGTATATGCCGATACGGCGTCTCAAAATATTTTATGAAATTTTACCAACTTCGGCTGTCCCGATTTTTTTCGTACCACACAATAAAACGATCCCCTCATTGAGTCGATTAGCACTAAAACAATTTTTTTATTCATTTTATTCATTTTTATGGACAACACACGCTTGACCAAAAAATTGACTATACCAAAATTGTTTTCACAAAAAAAAGACTAGATGGCTCAAAAAAGACAGAGTTTCCTTGTACCTTTTATGGATTCGGATTTCCCCATATTGTCCCATTAAAAAAACACTGTGTACGTATCTTATAAGAATTTAACTGCCTTCATGGCCGAACGGTTACCATGCCGGACTGCCACGCAGAGATCGATTCCCGGGCCGGGAGAGATAGCTGTATGGCCTAGATTTGTTTCTCTCGTGAGTTTGTGTGTAATTTGTGGTTGTCTATGTGTGTCTTCATGGCACCCGCGACACAGGGTTTCCCTAGTGCGGGGCTATGTTGATTGTGTGCGTTATTATTATTGTTATTATAATTGCATTCATTCTTCATTCTTACTTCTACTTGTAAGTCAAATGGACGTAAAATGTTCAAATAAGTTTTATGGAAATATATGCAGTCCTCTTTAGTAAGTTTCAATAAATAGGAAGAAATTGCGTTTATACGGAGTTTAATGAAGAAAAGGACGATATAGAATAGAATAGAAACTATTTATTGCAATGCCACAATATAAAAAGACATATAAATGAAAACAGGTCAAAAGACAACGTAACAACATTTAAACAACAAGTTACATAATACTGTACTGACATGTGTGCGGCTCTGGCGTATGCAAAAGGATCCCATTCAGCTAAAGTCACAACCAGGATTAGACTGTGACGCTGGTTTTCAATGGGCCCTAGCCGAGTGGGTAGATATCTAAGAGTCCTATTATTCCCTTTCTTACAGAAACCCCATGGTATGAGTTGAAGATATTATATTCTTTTTCCAGAGTTGAAGTCCAATATTGGCGAACGCTAGGCATTCGGTGCGCAGGCTGGTGTGTGAACAGGCCCCTAGAGAAGCTATACTGGCGAGGAGTTCTAAAAGCGCCGTACCTCGCCAAGACCCTGCTCGGTGAACCCGACGTGAGTAGCTTTATTATGGAATATTATCGCAATTGTGAGGAGGAGCAGGAAAAAAATGTTTAATGTTATGTTGTGTGTACTGTACCTTAGGGACGTAGCTCAGGTCGCGTAGCGAGAGGTACTTTATATATATATATAAACTGGGATTATCTTCGTAACTAGATATTTATTGTTTTTCACATATTCACTTACGGAGGCTACTTCTAGATCTGCCAAGATGTTCTTTTTCTATCCTATTTTTTAAACACATTCTAAATACAAATCTATATTCACTCAGCCAGTACTTCTACTCATAGAGTAGAGCCTAGACTACATCTCTCTTCCTCACACACCTTGGCAGACAACATCTTGGCAGATCTAGAAGTAGCCTCCATAAGTGAATATGTGAAAAACGCAATAAATATCTAGTTATGAAGATAATCCCAGCTTATATTTATAAAGTACCTCTCGCTACGCGACCCGAGCTACGTCCCTAAGCTACAGTACCTTTTCACACTTTAGATGTGACAACCGCATACACACATATACACATATACGCACACGTACACGTGAGTTTTAACATAACTGCCAAGACTTTACAGCGCTTCTGGTTGCGTAGCTGGTTTTGGTCCAGCTTAAACAGTCGCACAATAGTAGGGCGATTGAACAATTCTATTATATTTGTTATTTAAGAGGTATAAGTACAATGTAAAGTAATAAATAATGTCTTATACTCCTATTTTGCCATGTTATATTGTGGTGTAGATGAAGTGTTACACATTTTTTTTTCATATTGATAATTCACAAGCATATCTTTGAATTCTTAGCTTAGGCATTTGTATAATGCGCAAATTAGGTTAGGTTAATGCGGTGGTGAAAGTATACAGGCTGTTGCCAAAGCCATTAAAACTCCCACTATTACAGATGCGCGAAGAGCCAGAAGACGAAATGTACGAGCGCGTCGATGACGTTGTAGACAAGATTTTAGAGTCAGAACCTGCGCGACGCATGTCGTCAGAAAATTGATTATTAGAGTTTAAATTTTTATAAAATTTTTCTTGTCTCTGTATTAGTCTGGTTGTGAGCGAATAAATGCTAAATTTAAAAGTAAGTGTGCCGAGCAGTACCTCAAGGGTTTGGATCAGTAAAATAGCCCGTGCAAAGCGTTATTAACCCGGAATACTATACAAATTGAGTTATAAAAACTTTTATTACTTCCATTACATCTTATTTACTAAAATCAACTAAAACTAACGTAATTATTATATTAAACCACTTAAAAATAACAAACAACAGAAAGAACTTACAACTGTACACAGAACTATGCCTCTATCAAACGTTTTAAACACAGGTTGTTGGTAGCGACAGCGTAAAATATTTGTATACAAAATGTTACTTCTTGCCATATAAAATTGTCAAGCATTTTATACTCGGGTTGTTGGTAGCGACAGCGTAAAATATTTGTACACAAAATGTTACT